TAAATTAGTTGTAATTTAAATTAGAACTAATTTCTAATTTAAATTAGAAATTAGAACTAATTTCTAATTAGTTCTAATTAGAACTAACCACACTGTGGTGCCCATGCGGCTGGACACCACAGGGCACTATGAACCCGATCGAACCATTATACCTAGGATTCCTGTCGGCTAATGTGTCGTCTCTCAGGTTTTGAAAATGGGCCGACAGTCGGCCGACAACTCGTGTAGTGTAAGCTGGACATTACACTAAGGAAATGAGGAAGGGAGGGTCAGTGGAGAGCACCGGAGATGAGCCTTTTTTCATTCAGTGTCATCAAGAGAAAGAAAAAAGGCAGGAAGAGACGATAAAGCTGATAACTGAAATGAGGTCTATGGGTTTAATTTATTGTGTGATTAATTGATTTATCGTTTATCGTGACAGGCCTAGTCACAAAGGGATTGACACAGACAGCAATGCGATGCTCACGCAGGTGGTGACAAAAACATGCAAAGAAAATATGTTCAAAACCACAATCACCAGCCAAGCAGCCATCCTTCCATGTCTTTTCTGCCAGATTCAGGTTCAGTCACTGCTAAAAATCCAGTCTCATCAAACCAGGTGATGTGTTTCCAATGTGTTGTTCAGGTGTGGTGAGCTATTGTGAATTTTAGCCTCAATTTCCTGTTCTTAGCCAACAGCATTGCAGCCTATCCATGAAAGGCTCAACATGTGAATTCAGAAATGCTATTCTGTGTTGCACAACAAGTGGTTAAGCTACTAAGGTATTTCTATCATTCCAAACCGGCTTCTCCTTTCTGACCTTTGACATCAACAAGGCATTTTCATCTACACATGTCATGAGTTTCTAAAACGCAAAGACCAACAATCAAACCACAAGTAAAGTTACTGAACCTCTCTTCCCCACTCTGATGCTCTGTTTGTATTCAAGTAAGTTGACTTCACCTCATCGAGAGTCCATGTTATTGCCTCATTTACGAGTTGCATTAAAAACCAATTAAAGATCAGCCCATACATAATCTATACCCGCATATCTGTAGTGCCCATCTCCATTGGTCATGTGGCCCAGTGCCCTGCACTGGACAAACAACCACCCTCTCACAGCTAAGAACAATTTAGAAAGACCTGTTAAACTATATTTCATTAAATGTTTTTGGACTGTAAGAAGAAACCGGAGTACTAGGTGCAGAAGGAGAACAGGCAAAATCCATAAGTCCAAGAACTCTTCCACCATTTGACAAAAGAATTAAACAGATGTATCAAATAAATTTGACCAGGGAGCGGGTGTTTCAAAACCAAAATAATAATCAAATGTTATTGGTAATGTCATTTTCAAACACACTGTCTTTTCTGATTTAAGTAAAAGCAATAAAATTTTATTACACATTCTTTTTTTAGAAATTTGTGTTAATATCAAGAAATCATGTTTTGTTTTTGTTTTTTTCCCCACACATTCACCAAGCTCAGGCTCTGTTCGGCCAGAGTCTGCTAGAACACGTCCTGCTTGTTACTCTGTCAACGATGAGAGCCATCAACTCTCAGGACTTACTCAACTGTCGTGCCATCACATGGCTCTGCCCCACATCCCGCAGAGATTTGAACAGGACTGCTGCTCTGTCCACGTGATGCCAGAGTGGTTATTAAGGCAAAAATAAAAAAAATAAAAACTCCGTCTGGAATTAAGCTCTTTGGAAACAGCAGGTGAGACCCAGAATTTTTTTGTGTGCAAAAAACAGGAAAACTATAGACTTTTATCCACAATCTGTACAGCTTAATGCTGCCTTTAACTACAAAGTAAAAATAATTGCAATACTACAAGTGAAGCTTTAAAACAATAGATAATGTCACAACAAAACAGAGGAAAGACATGTACTGTGCATAGATTCTTTAGAAATAAACATGCTTTGCTTTTTTTTTTTTGTTGCCTGTTAAAACATGGGACATTACTTGCTGGGAAAATGTGCAGCTTTTTATACCAGTCAACTAAAAAGAGACCTTAGCACAGAGAAATTTAAGTCCCCAATCTGTCAAGAACTAAAAGAAAGCACTGAATAAGATGGCAGACGAGGCTCCTCGTGGGAGGGCAGGAGAAAGATGCAATAGGATGAAAGAAAGCAGAAATGATAGAGTCTGAATGCAAGCAACAGAACGGGGGGGGAGTGATCACAGTGGGAGAGAGAGCTTGGTGCCCCTCTCAGCGATGCTAACCAGATAAGATCCTAATTACACTATTCCATTCCCCACTCAAAGAGGGCAATTAGGGGGTAAAGTGAAAGAGAGAGGCAGGGTGAAAGGGTAAGAGAGAAAGGGAAAGACAAGGAGCGCAGGACGGCAGCGAGCGGTCCAGCCCAGCGTGATGCCTAATCTTTCTGCACAGCAATTTCCTGCGACAACAGCCCTCCTTGCTTCTGCTGCGGAGACACCATCCACACAAATAACAGTGTCATTAAGCAGCCAATGGAAGTCAACTCCCACCCACACCTGCACGCTTGTACCACTCAAACAATAATAATCTTGTGCTCTGAAAATAACACGCAAACGATTCAAATATAGTCTCCGGAGAAAAACGCTCCTGTTGGTCATTATGACTCTCATTTCTGCTCAGGGTTTTGATTTAAAGACAATGAGAGGACACAAAAAAAAAATAAGAAAATAGATATCAACAAGTGGGCAGAGTCTATTTTTAGACATTTCCTGTATGCGAGCTCCCTGTTGAAGTGATGCTCCAGTTTGTAAGAATGAAGTTCGGCCAGGAAAAAAAAAAAAATTGTGCTTTAGAAATTATAAATCTTTCTTTGATACCGATCACAAAACAGAATGAATGAATCCCTGAAGATGTTCAGTATCAGTGAGGTTTGTAAAGGTAATGTCAGAGAAGGCATAAAACAGGGTAAAATGTTTAAAATAAATATTCTATAGAGCCAATTTAATCTGCCATAGAGTATGCTGGACTAAAGAGCAGCACATCATGTCAAATGATCACCACAGTTCCAGTTTGTGCAATATGGCAATGTATATCTCAGCTATAATGCATTCAAACTCTGTAAGCCAAGAACACATTTGGCCAGATGAAGGGACTCTTAACTTCCCTTGATGCACCAGAGGACAATTTCAGTAACCGAGATGCTAAAGCTGACAGAAATATTGTGTACAATTTAATCTGAAAAGAAGTAAAAAATAAATAAATAAATAAATAAAATACTGTAAATGATGTACATGATTTTCTGTTGGAATAGAAAGAGATCTTATCGAAAACTCAAAGTTGGATTTAGGTTAGTGCATTAAACATTCTTATTGCTAATAAAATGCACCAAACAAAGCCTAAAATCTTTATACCAAAAAGTCTGCTATATTTTTTTAGCTGGGTTTCGTTTGAAGTGATCCCTGTTACATAAACTGGAGAGCAATATGGGCATTATCGTCTGTTTTGATAATTATCATCAAACCATTTCAAATTAAGTCTGTTTTTTGAGATAGTATCTGTTTCAATACAAAGTTTAAAAAATAATACGTAACAAGTAGAAAAAATAGTAATATTTCCTTACGAAATTAATTCTAAACAATTATGATTAAATTTAGCTTATAATATTAATAGTGGCACTTTCTTAACTAGCAATAAATTAACTTACAAATCACATTTACAGGACTATTTAAAAGTGAAGTTTGAGTACAACCAGAAAATAATGCAAATCAAATCCAAATTACTGTTTGCAGTCTCTTCTCCATCTTGCAAAAAGGCTAAAAATGTATTCTCCAACTAAATTTCAAACTTTTATGATTATTGTTGACATTGTTTATTTCCCATCATTTTTCTCAATGTATTTTTTGATCCTTCAGTCACACAGAAAGTGATTCCTCTATAACTTTGTTAGGTTTTGGACCGCTTTACTCAGAAAGTACACTAAAGCATTTTGTCATTACTTAAAGTTAATAAAAAGAAATTGGATTTTTTTTCTTTTAAATCAGCATAGGCAGGTCAGAATTTCACAAAATGAGTAATCAGAATTTGGCCTCCAAATTAAGAAAATAGTTCAGATCCTCCACATTTTCTCCCCCAAAGCTGCAGAATATTGCTTCTCGACTCAGCCTTTAACAAATTACAATTAAATGTAAATCAGATGGAGAGCTGACATTTAGACGCAGCTCTGGTTCATCGATAATCACCGTTAAAAAGTGCTAAGTCAGGGCAGGGCTGGTCATTGTGCAGCCTGGGTGGCACACGGTGGGTGGAAAACATCGTTAGAAGACCGCACCACTAAAATCAATAGCTTTTCTTTTTTCATTGCGCATGTTTAGTCATTCCTTTTAATCTTTCTAAAGTTCAGAGAACTTCCTTCAGGCTGTTTGAAGTTAACGAAGAAGAAGCTTCGGGTACTCACAGTAGGTTTTTCTTGTCAACTCCTCCACCACTTCTGGCTTGAGCTTGCTGTTTGATTTCCCCATGATCTTTCAGCTCTCTTCCACACCTCCAAATTCACCTTGGCACGCTGCACCTGTTACTACCTCCTCTCCAAGCGCGCTCGTCTGCCAATAACATACAACAAATTGTGGGTGCAATGACACCAACAAGGGGAAAAAAAACCCCAACAAAAAACAAGGAACACTGTCTTCTTGTTTGGGTAGGAAAAAAAAAAAGACAACATAAAAATATCAAAAGAAGAGGACAAATTTCTATTCACAAGAGTGGATCCTTCACTCTGGCTGCTGTCATGATTTGCTCAGTCATCATCCCCGGCACATCAGACAGATGCATCAGACCCCAGGGGGGAGGAGGAAGACGAGGAGGAGAGGAGGGGGACTCTGTGAAACAGGGCCAGGCAGGTTGTTGAGTCTACAAGAGCGCCACCGAGTCCCCGCTCATCGTCCGCCTCATTTCTTCACAGCAGTCCGTGGGCGAAGAGTGGCGTTCGGATGCGTTGCTACCTCCGTCCTTGGATACAAGAGTCACTCAAAGGCTGGGTTAAGCACGCTCGCTCCCTCACAGTCGTTCACTGTTCTTCTCACTCCACCCACCCCTCCTTTTTCCCACCACTATCTCTATTGCTCGGGGTAAGTTACTGTCGAACAGAATCCTCCCTCTTGACAATCGAGATAAGGAGGTGTGTAAACTAAAGCACAATGAGCCGAGCTTTTGCTTGGATGCAACCCTCTTCTGCACTTCTGACACTCTCACAGCACTTTTAACTCTAATCCTTGAAATTCATACAGACATAACGTTGTTTAATTAAAAGGTTTGGAGTATTTTACCAATAATTGGTAGAGCACAAAAAAAAACAAAAACAAAAAAAAGATGCCAGGTCTCCTTTTAGTCCAATACTTTTGGAAGCCAACACGGCATCTGGTGCTGCTCTCAAAATAAGCACGAGAGTCCGCCCGTCTACGAAGTTTACAGGCGGATTTGAAGAGTGACGTTTTTTTTTTTTCCTTTTCCCTCTCCTTCATTCTGACTCATAATTCTTCCTCCTTCCTGGCCTCACGACAGAATAGCCTGGTGATTTCCTCCTCCGTCACAGCAGCCGAGAGATAGGGATAATGGAATTTCTTTGTATCGCGGGCCCTGGCGTTGTCGTGCAATGATGTCTTACGACAGAATCAATCTGAGGCAAAGAGCACACAGAATAGCAACAACAACAACAAAAAGAAGAGGGTATGTACTTGGCACCTTCAATGCAAACATCTGCTCTCTGTGTCCGCAGCCAGTGAAGTACTTCTGAGGGGCGCTACGCTGGTAATCATCATCTTTGGTGTGCTTGAATCTTGAGATGTGGGGTTTTTACTTAGGCTCTAAGGAGATAAAAAGAGAGCAGTTAGAGTCTGTATGGCAAGCACGAGCGCTACATGTTGACAGGGAAAACAGCTGCTTTTGTCCACATGTATATCTAACTGTAAGCCTGTAGATATTACTATACAACAACCGTACTCCTTCAACATTACATTACATGTTTTTCATGTAAAACCAACCAACTTCAAAGTATGAAATTAAGATTTTATGCAATAGGTCAACACAAAGTAGTGCATAATCACACTTAAGGCAGTCCAGTCATATGACAGTTGCTTTGATTGACATTTGGGCAACATGCAACACCTTATGCATGACTGTCATCATTGCATTTCACTTTTAATACAAAATCCTTACTGTGGTGGCAGCATCATGCTGTGGGGAGTATTTGTTTTTATTAGTTTAGCTAAATACAAGAAAATCTGCATTTTCTTTCATTTGGGGTATCAGAGTAAAGGGGGCTAAATAAAAATAATAGCACGCCACATATTTTTAACTTGCAAAATATGTTGAAAATCCTTGTCGCCACTTTGCAATTTTGCTGGTTTATCATATAAAAGCCCAACAACATGCATAAAAAGTTTTTCGTTCTAACGCGACTCAAGGTGAGAAGTTAACAGGGTACTTCCACCAAGCGCTGTAAACCCACCCAAAGAACTTTTTCCAAGAAAAAATGTATACAGACCAAAAGCTGGAAGTGTTTAGGTAACAGAAACCTCAAAACTTGCGCACTCGCGTTTCCTTCACAGCAGCTTAATTAGGTGAAATGCGCTTTGTTTCAGTTTAACACCTTTACAAGAGGGGAGAAACGCTATGGTCGCGGCAGCAGCAGGTGGGATGTTGCCTTTAGGTACCATAGCAACGTAGTTTATGGCTACAGCACAACAGCGACAATGCGGGGAAAGCTTTGCTAGTCACTGGGCACTCGCCACGTTTGGTACCCACGCCACTCCATGTTGCCAGCCGACAAGAAGAAAAAGCGGCAAGCGCGCCCTGAAATGAATAAAAAGCGTTTTCCAAGTACAGAGAGAGGCTTTACCTGAGGCGAGCTGCCGTCCAGACAACGTGTCCCGCCGCTGTCCTCTTCCGCTAAGCTCGGCGCTGCTGCGCTGCTCCTGCTCTGGAAGCCGTCCGCGCTGCTCTGATGCCGCTGTCAGGCAGTGACGTTGCTGCTGGCCCCGACCAGCTCGGCTCAGAGACGGAGACGCTGACGTCGCGGTACCGACGGGCATACAGTGACTCTTTGTGTGCCCAGTCTTCACACGTGTCATTCAGGACTGTATGGATTACCTTTTAAAGTTATACTACACTCTTCGGCTGTATCATGAAGTTGCCAAAGATGATTTAGCTCAGATGAAAAAAAAAAAAAAAAAAGTCCTTCTCTTCGGATTAGTTGACCACTAAGTGTTGGCATGGGCGGATTTTAACTCGGGCTGTGTCTGGGCACAACTACGCGAAACGCCCCCAGTCCTCCACCCCAGTTCCTATAAAAGATGCTTCCACAACTAAAACTGATGTAAACTATTCAGATAGAATTTCTGTTTTCCTTTCTTTTTTTTTTTTTTTTTTACCTGCTATAGTTGTATTTTGTCCCTTTTTCACTATTTCTGTCACACTTAGATTTTTTGTTGTTGTCTGTTTTGTGTCTCTTTTACTTTTGTGACTGTGAGGAAGATCTAAAACACTAAATAACGCATTCAGTGTAGAATGTATTTAATTCACTATGCATTCTTTAAAGATTGGGTGTTCTCATTAGAAACCAGAAATGTTTAAACAAACTCAAAAACAAGTGGTTATAAAATAGAAGCTATATTTCTTTCTCATAGTCAGAAGTGGAAGAGGAGAAACTTGAATTTAGATTTTATTTGTGTGTTTAAAATTATAAAAATGAAACCAGCTGCAAAAGTGAATGCCCATTTTGTCACATTCTGACTCTCTATACACCCATCTTTGCCCTAAAGCTTCACTTTGTAACATCACTGCAAGAAATGGTAGGGGCTAATATTGACATCTGGCTCAAAATATTTAAAAAAAAATGTTTATCCAAATTTGTTTTTATCATTTTAAATATTTTTAATTTGTGGTTTCTTGATCAATTCCTCTTGCCCAAACGTGGATCATATTGAAATGTAAAAGGGTTAAATGCATTGATGTACATAGTTTCCTATGGCAAAATTTAAAAATTAGGTTTTATAAAAAAAAAAAAAAACGATCCTCTTATATTTAATTTTTGTTAACTTCTTAGTCTTTACATCCATGTTTTCAAAACAGCTAAATAAACATGTTTACTGGACCCAGCAAAATTTAGTGTCCATGAGTATAAATACTGTAACTATGCTAATTCTTTATCTAAATAAATTATCCTGGTATCACTGAGGCGGCTAGGGTTAAACTTGTCATTTGATGTCTTCTCTTGAATAAATGCATGTATAAAGATAAGAATATGCATTTGTGAGAAGGTACAGCTAATTGTAGCAGTGGGAATGAAACAGTGGACCTTTATTTTGTTGCCCTTATTTCACAAAAGTGGGAACACTGACTCCTTTTGTCCAGTTGTTTGGCTATTTTCTGTCAAAGACAAACTCTAAAACCCCAGTTTACATAAACTATCATCTAAAACGTGTAGAAGACCAATTTGAATAACTGGGATTGTCCCAGTTATCTCATTGTAATTGATATATGTGCAGATTTTGCTCATTTTTGATACTGGCATGCATCCACACAGAAAAAAAAATCTAACTTGGAAGTGAAAGATCAATGATCTGTTGTTTTCATTTACGTTAATCTGATTTCCTTCTGCTCCACTGATGCAATGCCAAGTCCTTTTCCCACAAGTCTTATTAATAATTTTTTGTTGCCCTGAAAGTCAACACTTGACTTAAAAGCTCATGCAAGGCATTTCCAAGCACAGCCTTTCATTATTCTCCATGCATCCGCAGCATGTAGACAGATGTTCGTTTTAATAGATTTGTAAATGAACACTTTTGCGCCAGTGTTGCTCTTTGGCCTGTTGGAAGGGTTGGATCAGATAGGCTGCTTGACATTGGCAGCTTAGCTTGCTTTGCTTTGCCCTGCCTGCCCTGTGCTCACTTAATGCATTCAGCTGAATCTCCAATTATCTCACAGGTAGAGAGGACCTGAGAGCGTAGAAAAGAGGCCATTTGCAATGTGGAGTAATGAAAAACTGAACTTCAGATGCAGTTAAAACTTGCAGGATTTTTTATTTTTTTTTTCAAATTTAATGAGGTTAGACATAATTGAAATAGCTGCACCTGTACTGACAAACTCACATTGCAGGAATGCAATTTTTCATGAGCAGCCGCATCCAGTACAGGGATAAAACCGCAATTGCTTTCCTTCCAAGCTAAAGGACGGAGGTGTTTTTGTATGGGAAGCACACGTATTGCTCTCCTACTGTTTTTAAACTGGCACTACTTCAGGGCCCAATTTACATTCCTTTTTGTTTTGTGGCTGTGACACTGATAGAGAGCTCAAGAGAACATGCAGCACATTTAGGTCATCCCACGCTCATTTCTGAATCGTTGCTTCTGGAGACCTACACTTGCGGACCGAAATATGTCAGCGTTACATGTGACTCCCACTCTTTGATTATTCATTTACATTTAAACAGAAGCGAGATCTAATGCGGGCCTATTAAAGCAACAAATACTGTTAACTGTTGCCGCTTGTTTTTTTCTTTCTTGTTGTTTCTTCCAGGCATTACAGGAGCACTTCCCTTGAAAGGATTCTGCGCAGTGACTGCATAATCGTCCATTTATAAGACAGCATACCCACACTACGATCATTAACTCATCAGCAGCGGGGCGTCATTAAATTCTCTTGCAACTTTTTTTTTTTTTTTGCATCACTGTAACATGGTGACATATGCTAATACAGCTGGAGTGTCTCCTGGAAGAAAGCCTAAAAGTGGAACGTATCTTTGTACGTTGTTGTGCCGTTGAGCTTCGGCTCCCTCAGTGTTACATTACGCCCTGGAAAGTTATCATCTCATAGGAGGACCAACACAGTATTCATCTTAACTCAGCAAAGAGAGAAGCATGGAAAGCAGTGAGAACGTCCGTCAGCAGGAGGGCAGGAACAGTGCTGGGTTTGACAAAATTTCAGTGCACTGCATCTTGAAGAATGAGACACCTGTCTCAATGATTGAGCAAAAGATATTTGGAAAACAGATTCTATAAGGCCATTTTATTGTTTTTTTTTGTTTGTTTTTTTACGCCTCGCTATAAGTTTTATTCAACATCTGACCCATCACTTTAGCAGTTTTATAAATAGTCATGCACTTAACTTGGAAAAGAAAATGCGATGAGTCAGACATGAATGGAGTGCTAGATTTAGCCAAGGCCTTTTGGTTGTGGCAGCAATTGATAGCTTTGAAAGATAAAAAAAAAAGAAGCACAATCAAGCCAAGGCAATTCGTTCTTTGCACACATCCGGCTTTTAAATCACCAGCTAGACTTCCAGCTTCTATAATTAACTTTTTTTTTTTTTTTCTTTTTTTTTTACTTTTTATAAATAAATACAGCCACAATCTGGCATTTATTATTATTTAATCCTTGGGAAACCCATTGAGGGGAAGCCCTTATTTATATTGGTGCTGAGGTCCATTCATTACAATGAAACTATTTGGCACTGTGAAGAAAAAAAAAAAACACAAGAAATGCAATTAAAACAAAATAAAAAACAGAACAAGCAGCTGAAGTCCATGAGAATGATCCAGAGTCATTGGGTTTTAAGCTTCAACTTTTCATCAAACCAGATGCTTTCAGATATCGTTTTTTCAGTTTCTCAATTTCAGCGTTGTGAACTGAAAAGGTTTCTTGGCTCTCATAATTAATGTTTTAAGAGTCTGCAAAGAACATAAATTTAACACATGAAAAGTCTAGAAGAGTTCAAACCTAGTTAAGACTTAAGTAGCTCTTTTAAATGAAATCTAGAATGGTGTAATGAGAGAAATCTAAACATCAATAAGGATTTTTTTTTTCCATCAACATAAAACTGGAAGCAAAAACTGGATATTGAAGAGATAATATGGTTAATATAAATGATAAACATTAATGGTTTAAGGGCAGAACCCTGGAAACTCCCAGAGAAACTGAATGAAAAGAAGATTGATCAGAATCTGTCAGCGAGCTATATGCTGTATTTATCATACAAAAGGAAATATTTTATCTAGTCCTAAACATAAGAACTCTAGTAATAAATATGAGTGGACATCTGTGTAAAAAAATCCTATTTTTTTCGGTACGTTTCTGCATTTTAGCTAAGACGGCAGCCATGTCACGTAAATCATGGGTGGCAGCACCCAATAGTGATATGTGCCTATTCGAAGTTAGACTGGTATGGTCTTAAAGTATGAATAAATTAAATGTTCAGTGCTGTGAAAACATATTTGCCAAATAGATTTTTTGTTTGTTTTTGTGACATACTTTATGTGTCATTTCATCAAACAAAAGTTAAAAATCAACACTTGATAATTATTTAGTAAGAGTTAAAATGCTACTTATACCAACCTGATCCTAAAGTCCTTAAAAGAACCTTGAGCTCTTTCTATATATGAACTGTATTTCTTAACTGTGTCTGAATTTCTTTAGATATAGGCATGACGTTGCTTTTGGCATCTCCTAGCCCGTCTCCTGTTTTCAGAAATAATTTCTCAATACCAGTTTGGAAGTAAACAAGCTTGGGTGTGACAAGTGAAATTCAGCTCAACTTTCCAAAAAGAGCTCTTCCAATGTGACAAAATAACAATAGTACAGTGTACGTAGAACACAGCTGAAGCAACAGATGGAGATGATGACAAAGAGCAGGATTTAAACGGCAGTCCTTTAATGCACAAAATGACATCCGCTCCAAATGAGTGCATCTCCAAATCTGAGACAAGAGGTCAAGCTTCATAATTAGATGCACTCTCATAAGTCTTGTTTTTACATTAAAATGGGGAACTCTGCAATGGAATTCTAGCAAAACTGATACGGATGCTTAGCTTCCTGCGCTAAACGTCTTGACAAATGAACAGCTTCCTCCCCTTTATCCAAAAACTGCAACCAAACAACATTTTCCTGAGGCATCATCTGCTTGTGCCCGCTTCAGTATCCCATATGGCTAGTTATGTATAATTTAGGACTTCATAAATATAAAATCCCTTGCTCCCCTCTGAGGGAACAGAGATGGGCGTGAAAGATAGAGCGGCATTTATCACAGTCTTGTGCTTGACAGATCCAGCACCGAGGTTTCAGCTGAGCGCCGATGCCGGCGTTGCGTCCGCGCCAGCCAGCTGTTAATCCAGACTGACAACAGGCAGAACAACAGCAGATGGGCTTTTGGGTCCCAGAG